GGTGAGGGGAAGAAAGGGAGAGAGGAACATGGATAAAAGGAAAAGTAAGACCACTCAACATCCAGAGGAAAAAGGGAAGGAGACTCGAGGACAGAGGCATGGCGAAAGAAGAAAGGAGGAAAGAATTAACAAGAACGCTGAAAGTGCAAGTGGAGAAGAAACTGGAAACGAGAATGAAGAGCAAGAACAAAGAGTAAGAACGCGAGCAGACTACTTGGACTTCAAAGCTAAAGGCAAACCAGAGGACAAAAAAGGAAAAGATGAAGGTGACAGCGAGGGAGACAGAGATGAAGGCGAGAACGGAAAAGGTGGAAGAGGAAGTGAAAAAAGTGACGATGACGATGACGAAAGTGAAGAAGAAAGCTATTCCGACAACGATGACAAAGACGAAGACGATGACGACGACGAAAAGGAAAAAGAAAGCTATTCCGACAACGATGACAAAGACGAAGACGATGACGACGACGGAAGGGAAGAAGAGAGCCATTCCAACGACGATGACGAAGACGATGATGCCGACGAAGTAGAAATAGAAAGCGGTTCCAGTGAAGGAGACGATAGCGGAAGGGAAAGAGAAAGCGATGACAGTGATGAAGACGAGGAAGGGAAAAGAAGAAACAACTCGAGTTACAAAGCTAAAGGCAAATCAAAGGACAGTGAACTAAGTGACGATGAAGATGATTATGAGGAACGAGAAACAACCAATAACGAAAGTGAAGATGAAAGCGACAACGGAAATGGTGAAAGTGAAAGTGATTACAGTGATGATGATGAAAGGGAAAGAGAGAACGATTGCGGTGAAGACGAAGATGATAACGAAAGTGAACGCGTAAATTCTCGCAGTGACGAAGACGACGGCGAAAGTAGCTCAGAAAGGGCTTCCAGTGACGAAGACGATGACGAAAGAGAAGGAGAAAGTGAATGCGGTGAAGACGAAGATGATAACATAAGGGAACGAGAGAGCGATTGCGATGAAGACGAAGACGACAACGAAAGTGAACGCAGGAATGGTCACAGAGGTGAAGACGACGGCGAAAGCAGCTCAGAAAGGGCTTCCAGTGACGAAGACGACGACGAAAGGGAAAGAGAGAGTGACTTCGGGGAAGACGAAGACGGTAACGAAAGCGAATGCCGTGAAGACGATAGCGAAGACGGAGAAAGTGATTACGATGCTGCAGACGAAGGCGATAGCACAAGCGAACACGATGAACTCGAGGCCGAAAGCGAAGGAAAAGGCGGTTACGAAGACGATGACGAAGGGGAAAGCGATGACGATGACGAAGACGGAGATACAGAAAGCGATGAAGATGACGAAGATAACGACTTCAGAAGTAATACAGAAAGAGATTACGAAAGGAACGATGGCAAAAGGAAAATACTAACAGAAACGAAGAACCAAGTAGAGAAAAGAGATAAAGAAGACGGAAGGAGGATCCGACAAGTCAAAACAAACAGAGAGGATGAAACGCGGAACCAAACAGACGAAGCAAATATTCGAACGACGAACCAAAATGGAAAAGCAAATGGAAGAGAAGGCACGAGGAGCCAAGAAGATATAAATTACGAAGAAGAAACCAAGAATTACGAAAACAAAGCAAGGAAAGAAGGCACGAGGAACCAGAGAGACGAAACAACAGAAGAGGAGGAATGGAGGAGACAAGAAAAAACAAAAGAAGGGGAAGAAGCGGCGAAACCAGAAGAGAGGAAGCGAGAAAACAAAATAAATCAAGAAGATGAGCAAGAGCTGGAGGCCATCGCACCGGCTCCTCAGGGCGCGGGGCGGGGCGGGGGCGGCGGGGGAGCGCAGGTGAGCGCCGCGGTATCATGGTGATGATTGTGTCGATGGTTGTGATGATGGTGATGATGATTGTGATGATGGTTGTGATGATGGTGATGATGATTGTGATGATGGTTGTGATGATGGTGATGATGATGTGATGATGATGATGATGATGATGATGATGATGATGATGTGATGATGATGATGGTGTGATGTGATGAATGATGGTGATGATGATTGTGATGATGTTGTGATGATGGTGATTATGATGGTGATGATGTTGTGATGATGATGATGATTGTGATGATGGTGATGATGATGGTGATGATGATTGTGATGATGGTTGTGATGATGGTGATGATGATTGTGATGATGGTTGTGATGATGGTGATGATGTGATGATGGTTGTGATGATGGTGATGGTGATGATGATGATGGTGATGATGATTGTGTGATGGGTGATGATGGTGTGATGATGTGATGATGATTGTGATGATGGATGATGGTGATGATGGTGTGATGATGGTGTGATGATTGTGATGATTGTGATGATGGTGATGATGATTGTGATGATGATGATGGTGATGATTGTGATGATGGTGATGATGATTGTGATGATTGTGATGATGGTTGTGATGATGGTGATGATTGTGATGGTGATGATGGTTGTGATGATGATGGTGATGATGATTGTGATGATGATGATGATTGTGATGATGA